GGTAGGTAGGTAGGTAGGTAGGTAGGTAGGTAGGTAGGTAGGTAGGTAGGTAGATAGATAGATAGATAGATAGATAAGATTGTATCTCACTTACATTATATCCATGTATTGCCTCTAAAACAAGATTCTATAAAAGATAATTTAGTTAGTAAACAAATTAAATGAATAAGTCCAAAAAGATAAACTATAGGATTAGTGGGGTACAAAAATAAATTATAAAACACGGGAGTGACTAAACATGCTTGTCCACAGTCAATCATTTATGACAAATTGACTTATCAAGAGTCATCCGATTTTGTTATTCCACACCCTCAAATCTGTTGTTGTGGTCTTTATTTGATTAAAAGGTTGTTGTTTTTCAGATCCAATAAGATTAGATGAAATAGATTTACAGCTGCAAATGAGGGAAGAACAACACACACGGTAATATTTAATAAGGGGACACTGAAAAGTGCATTTGATTTGAAATCACTAACACTAACCTCCTCATATCTGCCAAGTGGAGAATTATTAATGAACTGTGCAAAGAAATACACATAATTACCTTCGTAATCAAAATATATTCAATAATCAGGGGCTTTTAGTGTTGGTCAAATATCTGTAATAGCAGAAAACCAAGCAACCCCATCCAAGTCTGTTTTTGTGATCAGATACTCATTAATTGTGGCCTATGTTTAATCTATATTCTACATTAATATATTTATAAGACATTGACATTTTCATGAAAATACAGCATAATTTTATACATAATAAGCTTTTCTTGCGACCTAAAAAGCAAAAAGAAATTTAACATGTCCAAGATGCTCTTTCTATTTATATTATTTTGTCGTCGTTTAAGGTTAAACACGTTCTTGTAACTTGTTCTTGTTTCTTCGTTACCGAGGCGTGGAACAGACGGGCTACAGATAGGTTGAAGAAAACATTTTATTTGACAAACACAGAATATATTGTTCCTCTACTCGAGTCACGTCCCGACCCCTCTTTGATATCCTCCCTCCAAAGTCACAATAACCTGACCCCGGAACTAACATTTTCCTGATCCGTTTAATATAGAAAACAAATGCAAATAAATAGAAAACAAATACAAATAAAATTATTGTGTAAAATATTCTGTTACATAATTAAAGATCTATTTCATATTCACAAACGGTTAAACACACCGCAAAAGAAACGTTCATTTTGTCCGGCGTCTTATTTTGTAGGCGGACGAACTTCCGGTTCCGGCAGCGTTTTTCCCGCTTGACGGTCCTGCGTGTCTCTGAATGGTGGAGGTTTGTTGTGCGCTGAGGACGCGGCAGTTTGGGGGGGGGCGGAGTCACGGAAGGTAAAAAGAAAACATCAAACAGGCTGGAAAAACGAGGCCATGTTCAGTTTTTAAAAAAACTTCTGTGACAACTGTGGAGTCAAGGGGTCGAAAAGCAAAACAATTAGTGGAGAAGTGAATGAACAAAATGGTAATTTAGAAGATAAATAACTCTATTCACCGTTGGTTTTGTGAAGTTTGCCATTTAAAAGTGACAATTATGATTTGTATTGAAGAAGAAAAAACACAAGGCAGGAGAAAAGGATAAATGCTGACTCAGTCTTATTTAATTTTCCTTTTTCTCTCCTTTTTCCTCCCCTGTTTATCATATCTTGGACCCACTGTGGGTGCAGGTGGGTGTCTTATTTAAGGCTACCTGTGTCACTTGTCTGCTCTGAACCACGTGATGTTTGGCCTC